GTAAATTTTTATCCTTTCTGTGTAACTATGTTACAGTAGCATGGGTAACATAAAACAAATCATATCTTCAGTTCTTTTTATTGTCAGAAGCAGCACTATAATACAGTTTTTCTTTGAAGCCAGTAAACAATTTATAGAAATATGACAGCTTAATTTCATTCAATAATTTACAATACATCTTTGAAAATAAGCTTGAGGAAATGATGGGCACACTCTACTAATTATGGTTAATTTAGAGTTAATATTTTTTTCCTTTGCAAAAGATCTGGATGAAAATATATCTCGTCCTACAAAAAATGAGATAAAATATCGAATGGATAAGGTCTGTATTAACATGTACAAGAATATTTTTTTTTCTAAGTAATACCCTTAGAAGTGTATGAGCTATCTGAAATAAGTAACTCATAACTGAAGGATAAAACTGCACATCATTGATAAATTATTGCAAATAATCTTAGAACACAAAGAAAATTTTACTATAGTATCCTTTCTCATAAAATGGTATTATATATTCAACCATGCTACAGCTTTAAACTGTGTCAGCATGGTTGAGAATGAATACAAGAACTAAATATTTAAAACTCTAAGACATACACCATATTTAAAGATGATCTATAAAAAAGCAATATCAAAAGTAATATCTGGCACAATTCACAAAATCCTAATTTGTGTTGAATATCCTTTTATTCATTTATTCAAATTGTATGACCTTTCAACACCAAGTAATAGATGTTGAAGTAATTCAACACCTGAAAATGCCAATGACAAAAACAAATTTTAATATGGAGTCATCTCCCTATATATTAACATATAAGGCAATGTAGCATTTTTGGACATGAAAACATGCCCACAAAATAAGTGTATTTTCCCTGTATGTAACATACAAATGATGGTTTGAAAAAATAATGTTTCAGTAAAGTCCTCTCCATTTACTTAGTATAAAACTTTCTCTCTTTCATCTATATGTAAAGAAAGGCAATTTGTGTTTCCAAAACACTTATGCTTTTACATTATATTCAATTGCTTTGAAAAATTTCTTTCTAGAAAATAAAACCCTTCTCGGACTAACTTTCATGTACAACCACACTACAGTTTTGATCTGTGTCAGCATGGTTATGCATTGAATCTTCCTTCCAGACTTTTTTACTACATGTATATCTAAATACTAAATGCAGAAAACATTTTTCTTCTTCTAATCCTTATACCACAATGTAGAGATGTTAAATTACCCCCTGAATTCATGTCGACAATACAAGTGCTTCTTCTTAAATCAAATTTTTCTTTCCTTTCATTTTAGTACCATACCCCAACTACTTTATATACAGTACTGTAAACCAAACTAGACTAAGAACTAATTTATTTTAGGCCAATAAAAGTAATTTTTTTAATTCTCAGACATTACTATGTTTGTGAAAATAATTCTTATGGCATATATTAAATGAGAAATAAAAATATCCAATTTGGCACCTCTGATTATTGAGACGGTTTATTTGAAAAAATAGACATACAAATTATTGAAGTGTAATCATTATCAACCCAAGTTCAACAAATCAGTAAGACTTGTGAACATACTAGTTGTGAATTGTTTCTCAAATGTTTTTTTTTTCAAACAGTTTTTCTGAGTTGTTACCACAAAGTGGAAAAGATGAAAGGATGTATAAAACAATATGTATCTATCTGTATACCTTGCATATGATGTAGCTGCATATTCTGACAAATCAATTGATGCATAGTTAAAATTCCCATACATCAAAATGTACAAACTAAACATACAGAATGACACTAACGAAAGACAATAAACACAAAACATACAAAGAACACTACCGTCATAAATATCACATCAACATAAACACAATATTCCGATAATAAATATCCCATTGGTATTTCACTTTTAAGTTAGGAAAATTTCAGCAATCTTGTGATCAATTTTATTCGTTAGAATTTTTGTCCTTTCCAAGTAATATCTTTATAGATTTAAGTGATGTGCATCAACAATTTCTTACATAAACTTTGACAAGAAATGAATATCTCACATAAACTTTGACCAGAAAAGATATCTGAAAATTAACATGTTTTAAATATGAATCTGACAGGAAAAAATAAAGTAAATTCATCACGCATTGATATTTTCAAAAATATTAAACTAAGAAATTTAAAGAGTTTATTTGAAAGTAAAAAAAAAACCTATGGGATACAACAGAGCTAATTTTTTTGCATTATAAAATATCTATTAATACACAATTCAAAAATAATATGAGTCTTTTATGAGTTAATGAAAATTCACACCACTGTATCATCCCCAAGTAGCAATTCTATTTAGTTTATCTATTTACCCAAGAAATAAGTGCCATAAGTTTTAAGTAAAACATTGAAATGATAGATGACAAGTCAAGCTACAGTTCTGGATACTGAATGAAGACAAAGTTTAAAAAAATAATTTATGTATGTGAGAATCGCTACTTGATGAGAACTACTTTGTTACCAGTATAAGAAATAAATTTATTTAATTCATTATGATATAATTTACACTACTCTTAAACATTATTATAATGTTAATGATTTTGAACAAGCAAACTTGAATATTTTATCACTTGGACCTTAATGTAGACCAATTTGAAAACGGAACCAAAATTTAAGAATCTAAATACACAGTTAGATTCGGCATATCAAAGAACCCCAATAATTCAATTTTTGATGAAATCAAACAAAGTTTAATTTTGGACCCTTTGGACCTCAATGTGGACCAATTTAAAAACGGGGCCCAAAATCCAAAAATTAAATACACGGTTAGATTCAGCATATTAAAGAACCCCATGAAATCAAGAATAAAACCCCATTGAAATTGGTCAAGAAATAAGCAATTTATAGGAAGTATCTTCTTTTGCACAATCCTGTGCTATTAAATATTTCTTGCTATTGCGCAATACTGTACAATTGACAATTTCTTGCTATTGCGCAATATTGTGCTATTGGATATTTCTTGCTATTGCGCAATACTGTGCAATTGAAGATTTCTTGCTATTGCGCAATACTGTGCAATTGAAGATTTCTTGCTATTGTGCAATACTGTGCAATTGAAAATTTCTTGCTATTGCACAATACTTATTATATAATAATTTACACATCCTGTTTGGTGTGTATCTCCTACCATATCATTATTATTTGATTTTAAATATAAATCAGAAATAACCAACTTAAAATGGAAAATTTTAAAAGAAACAAAAAAGGAAAAAAAGAAAAAAAAGGAAAAAAAAATAAATCCCCCCCCAAAATTTTTTGAACCCCCATTATGATTCATCACCCCCAAACTCAATCCCAGCCTTCCCTTTGTGGTATGGTACCTTGCAGTACAATTTCAGAGAGATCCATACACTTGAACACAAGTTATTGTCTGGAAACTAGAAAAAAATGTGTTTTTTGGCCCCTTTTTGGCCCCAAATTCCTAAACGTTTAGGGCAATTACCCCCAAACTCAAACCCAGCTTTCCCTTTGTGATATGGAACCTTGTAGTACAATTTCAGAAAGATCCATACACTTACACACAAGTTATTGTCATGAAACTAGAAAAATGCTTGTTTTTTGCCCCTTTTTTGGCCCCTAATTCCTAAAATTTGGAGGCAATTACCCCCAAAATCAATCCCAGCATTTCTTTAGTGATATGGAACCTTGTGGTACAATGTCAGAGAGATCCATACACTAACACACAAGTTATGTCTGGAAGTTACAAAAATGCTTATTTTTGGCCCCTTTTTGTCCCTAATTCCTTTACTGTTATTACCATAACCCCCAAAATCAATCCCAACCTTCCTTTTGTGGTATTGAACCTTGTGGTATAATTTCATAAAGATCCATTCACTTAAACTAAAGTTAGAGTGCGAAAACCAATGTGTCTTCGGACGACGCCGGACGACGACTACGCCGGACGACGACGACGCCAACGTCATACCAATATACGACCACAAAAAATTTTTTGCGGTCGTATAAAAATTCTGTCACTGGAGCATGATTGAGGGAATTGGAACTCTGCATATATATAAACATCAGTCTAAAATACCAGCCTACCCATCTGCCTGATACTGATAATTACAGCATGATTACTTAATCCAAATGGTGTTCAGGGTGGACTTGTAATTTGCAGGATCTTAAAAAATCTACAATAATCAAATTTTTGTCTTGCCTTGATGGAGTCAAAATGCGAGACATAGGTATGCTGTTTCCAGCGTCGGCGGCGTCAACAATGTATTAGTTTGTGATTAGGTCTAGTTTGTGGTGAACCACAAGTTGTAGGTCAATCATATTTGGTATACAGTTGTATTAGCATTGGCACATCTCATTTCCATGGAGATTATTTGGCTCCGCCCCCTCAGTCATGGTCTATTGACTTTGAAACTTTTGCTTATTTTACATGTATTAGTTTGTGATTATGTCCGTTTATGGGGAACCATTAGTGGTAGGTGAATGATATTTGGTATGCAGTTGTATAAGCATTGGCATATCTCATTTCCATGGAGATTATTTGGCTCAGCCCCCTTAGTCATGGTCTATTGACTTTGCAACTTTTGCTTAGTTTACATGTATTAGTTTGTGATAAGATCAGTTTAAGATGAACTGCTAATGTTAAGTCAATGGTATTTGGTATGCACATTAATTGGCAATTGTAAGTATCGTTTCCATGGAGATTACATAGCTCCACCCCCTCTTCATGGTTCATTGACTTTGAAACTTTTACATAGTTTACAAGTTAATGTTTGTGTTTAGGTTTGTTTAAAGGGAACAACTTGTAATAAGTCAATAATATTTGGTATGCAGTTGTATTAGCATTGGCGCATCTCATTTACATGGAGATGGTTTAGCCATGTACCTCAGTCATGGTTCATTGACTTTGAATATAAGCCTAACTTGTTAAGTATTGCCATTTTAATTTCAACATTTGCATAATCAAAATTACAAAAAAGCGAGACTGATCTCTGTGATAACAGTTTATTAATACCGATACTCACCAGTTTTAGACAGATAATGAATGGAGGTGTGGCCTTTGTAAAATGGACTATTGGAATCTTTGGTTTTGGTTTTATCTGTAATAAAAGATACAACTCATATCAAATAATGACCTCAGAATAAAACAGACGTAATAAAAGATACAACTCATATCAAATACTGACCTCAGAATAAAACAGACGTAATCAAAGATACAACTCGTATCAAATACCGACCTCAGAATAAAAGACGTAATAAAAGATACAACTCATATCAAATACTGACCTCAGAATAAAACAGACGTAATCAAAGATACAACTCATATCAAATACTGACCTCAGAATAAAACAGACGTAATCAAAGATACAACTCATATCAAATACCGACCTCAGAATAAAACAGACGTAATAAAAGATACAACTCATATCAAATACAGACCTCAGAATAAAACAGACGTAATCAAAGATACAACTCATATCAAATACTGACCTCAGAATAAAACAGACTAGATATATTGACAAGTTATTTATGAACAATTTTCCTTTAATATGTTACCCAATATTTTTCAATATATCAAATGCAAATGTAATTACAGGAAATTTTTCAGTATGCAAGTTAACATGCTGTATAGAATTCTTTGATTTACAAAAGCAGAATATATAAATGCAGGAACATTAATTTAAAGCACACTTGTAATAGTCACAACAAAGAAACATGTGAATCCTTACTTTTGATTCCTCAAAAGTGTAGTATCCTTTCTCAATTTTCTTTAGATCAACATCACAGAAAGATTTTACCTTAAAGTAAATAATCATAAATAAGAAGTGACAAATCAATTGATCATACAAATCAAATTATCATTGAAGTTATATAGGTAAACAATGAACCAAATGTTACTTTCATCTTCTTCAAAATATACACTATGATTGACATTGGTATTTCAAAATTAAATAGAAGCGCATGGTCCACCCTAAACCCTAGTACCGTCCCAACTATAATTAACTTTTTTCTAGATCTTCCCCTCGGCATGTGATCTTGATTTTATTCTGATATTATTGCTTCAATGTCATACTGAATTAAGAGGTATGTTTGGCAAATGCTAGTTATCATATTTCACCTTGTTCTGATTATCAGTTGAGAGAGAACGGAAAAATTTTCTTCCTTGCCTCCCAGCATTCCAGATTGTATACTCTGATAACACAGATAGCACTTGCTTCTGTAAATGTTTAAGTCTAATGTTCCATATCGTCTCTCTAGTAAAAATAAAACTATATTTCAGAATAAAAACTTGGTTAATAGCAGACATAAATGTAGGAGGATATCCATTTAAGCAGTATGAAGTTATTATCTTGAACTTTTTGTTTGAGATCACATATAGATGGACATAGCAAAACTAAATGCAACATTTTTTTAACTATCAAAGGTATCATTATACTTTCTGTAAGAATGCCCTGTGATTACAAAAATTCTTTACATTGGCATAGAGTTAAAATTTATTATTTCTGGGAAAGTGAAATATTGTTTGTAAGTCTGTGCAGCTGTTATTTGTAGTCAATAGTATGTTCATGTGAGTAGGCTGAGTTAAACAAAATTGTTGTCTGCATCCTAAAAGAGCTTTATGGAATGCATAATTACAGTGCAATCCAAAGTAGATATTTAACTAATGTCATGCTCTGCTTAGAATAAAATGTCCTTTAAAGCCTTTTAAAAAGGTTTTCTTTAGTTTTTTGCTATATATCAATTGATTGATATTTTGAGATTGTTACTGGTTTGGTTAGCAGTATAATAATAAGAATAATGTTGTGTTCAGCATTGACTGTGTAATAGTAGACTCAGTTAAAAGAATAGTGTACTCCCTGAAGAATATTTATGAGATATTTCCGTAACCTCTAAAAGAATATGTACTATGAAAGACCACTTTAACTTAAAAGACTAGAATTGATTACATAACTTTGCTAAACCTTTGTTTTCATCCATGACCTTTGGAAAAATCTAACTATTAGTCCTTTTTTGGTAATTTTTTCATACTTGAATCTTATAAATATATTATAATGTACAATGATGTCCAACATTCTTTACATTTTCTAATATTACTTAATTTATAAATATATGTACATGATGTACAGTTAGCTTTAGAAATAAGCTTTACTCTTTCACAGTGAACAAGTCTATGTTTGGTGAAAACAATATAATACCGATTCCTAATTACACATACTCTAGCTTTAGAGAAAAAGTAACTGACATTTCACTACAGTTTCTTTATTACATATACTCTTTCATAGAGTAATAGCTGACATCTGGTGACAGTGTTACAATACAGATTCCTGATTACTTACTCTTTGACAGAGAAGGTAGCTGATGTCTGATGATAGCGATACATTAATAGATCTTCATCTATTCTCATTAATGATCCACCAAGGTCTAGATGCTTGTAGAAAAATATCAGATCTTCTGGAACACCCTATAATACATTTTATATTTTATATGGGCTAACAAAACACTACCATTGACAAAAAATCAGTAGCCTGTATTTCAGTGGTTGTTGTTGGTTCATGTCTGTCATAATTGGTTTTTGTAAATTGTTTTGTTTTAAACTAGGCCTTTAGTTTTCTCAATTGAATTATTTGATATTTTTCATGTCTGGGCCTTTCATAGCCAACTATACGGTGAGGGTTTTTCTCATTGTGGAAGGTAGTACGGTTGCCTATAATTGCTTACATCCACATCATTTGAACTTTGGTGGATAGTTGTCTCATTGGCAATCATACCACATCTCCTTATTTTTACATAAACAAGAATGCATTTGTTGTTATGAAATGTATTTTTTTATTCTTATATCTTATATATAAGTTTTACTTTTACCCCATTTGTAATTTTAAAGTATCAGAAAACAGGAAGTAGATGTCTGACAGTTACAAAAAATGCTCACACACTACTACTCATCACTTTCAGGCTGCTGACCACAAAGGAAGTCATTCTATTCATTAGGACTTGAGAATCAATCATGTGTAAAATTTATGTTATGGTTACTAATAAGTAGTCAGTGGCCAATCTTCATTATTTATGTTTTATTACTATATAATACTTATAAAATCATATGTTTTCTTCAAGTAAGTGTAAACAAACTATGAGAAAATTTTAGCTTGACATGCTGTCTAGACACAAAGTCTTGTCAATAATTTTGAAGACTATATGTTGAGCTCAAAAATTTTTTTTTGGGTTGTGTAGTTGGGTTGATGTTTTATTGACAATGTACGCCTACATCTCATATCTATGTGGTATCTTACCATTCCTCCTTCATCAAATCCTCCAACTTTATCAAACACATTTCTAGAGCAGAACCATGTAGGCATAATAACTGTTGGGCCATGGGATGTATAAATCTATAAAAGTAAACATAATCCTGTATGTATAAACCTATAAGTAAACATATATGTAGACAAGAATACAGTTAACTTATTTGTAGATTTTACTGTTCTGGTCAATTTTACTGTTTTAAAAATTTCTCTCTTTCTGTTATAATTTCCAAGAAAATAACCCAAAACTGCAAACTTTACCAAAAGTTTACATTTTTGAGGCAATACCGGTAACGCCAAAATTTGCTATCAGATTTTTCTGAAAATTTCAGAGGTGAAAGACCTATAGATCTACTGATCATTTTTAAAACATGTTCTATTTTTAGCAATCCCAAGTGACGGCAAAAGCTCACATCACATTTTAGGACAGGTGAGCTAAAAAAAAAAAACATATAGACATCAAATGGACTATATTTTTAGGGATTTTGCTTTACAGAAAAAAAGTGGATTAAGAGAGAATGATATAAAGTGTGGTTAAAAATTATATTCTAAACTGTTGGAAGTACAAACAAGATTGAAAAAATATGCACACAACACCCTATGGAGAAGGCATACAAAAACAAATTTTAACTTAATTACCTGTGTCATCAATTTACCATGAGGTAGATTATTAGCCCATCTTGTGTATCTTTCTGTTGACCCAACTGGTTCTCTGTGGAATCTACATCCTACAATCTTAAAAGTTTAAGGAGATAAATATGTCCTTGAAATATTTATATAATGTTTAACCATATTAGAGAATGAGGTCTTAACAAATAATATCACCACAAAAGCTGGGTATATGATTCCACTGCAGGAAAGATCAAGGAAGAAAATTATGGCATTTCAAACCAAGCTGTTTGTGGTTATATTATTTAATTTATATGTATATTAAAGAGTGAAGCATAATTATTGTATAAGCATTTATTTAGAGCTAGCTTTCAGTATTTGTGTAGTTTAGTATTGTTTTACTTTTGGATGTTTTTCTATCTGTAATACCTACACTTTTCAGTGCTTTTTTCTGGACTGATTTCTGTTGAGAGTTGTACTCTGTACCTTTCCATTCCACCAGATGTTTTGAAACCCATTTTGTGAAATTCAATAAATGAGAATGTAAAAATATTTTATTTCCCTTCCTGTATATAAGGTAGCTTCCTAAGTAAAACATCTTGAAATGTAGGTTTCTCTGTATAACTTCATGTATGTCAATACTCACTCCTCTCAGGGGGTAAAACCTAAGTTTTCAATGTACATTTATTGTATGAATTCACATAACCAAAAAATATATAAAACATCCATGGGACATGTATCATATACTTTTTAGTTTGATGATTGCTGTAGTCATTGTAGTTTGTTAAATACAGGCAAAACAAGCAAAATATTATTTAGTGGGGCAATGAATTTTGTAGCAACCATGAAAATTATGAAAACTGATTTCTTGGTTTCTCGTGGATAAAAGTATTTTTAAAGTAATAGATAGAAATTATAGTAATATTTCAATATTTCAACTGGTTGTGAGATCCTTATCACACATACCACATTATCTTGTGACTGAGCTGCTTGATACTGTTTTAGTAACCTATCTTTATCCATAATGTCATCCTACAAAATAATATACATTTCAGACAAGCAATCTGCAGTATTTTAATGAATTTATTCCAACAGTAATATTATAACATAGAAACTACATTTGAGTACAGTTTAATTACTTGCATATAAAGTAACACTTTTTTAAAATTGGACCCTTTTTAGGGAAAATATAAAGTTCCTTTGCTTGCTCAAGCATTTATGTTTAGAATTATCACAGTGTATATTTTGGTAACTAAGATAGGTTTTTGAGTGCATATGTATTATTTTATGCATACCATCCTAGTATAAGATAAATGTGTTGATTTATTTACTGTAAATATACAAGTCAGATCGAACAAAAATGTGAATATAATTTTTTCAGAGAAAAAAAACTGTTTTCACCAAATCTACATTTTCAGCTGGTGTGTTTAGTCCCTTTTGTTTATCATTGTTTATGTTGCTCATATTGGCATGTTTCAGTATTGTGTTATGTGTAAGTTTGTTTACATGGTTCGTACATATATGAATAAAAGGAGATGAGGGTATATGTCAATAAGACTGCAACCAAATGACACAGATCAATAGATGTATAATGAATACAAGACATTTAACTTACAATATCCAGAAAACAAAGGAACTGCCCAGCACTTATCTCAACTGCTTTATTCTTAGACCATCCAACTATGAACAAAATTATAAAAATTATGGTTAAAATTTTTATTTATGAAAACATATCATTATGTTTCACAAACCTGGAAATTTTGTAATGTTTACAAAAACCTTTTTAAAAACCATATCCAAATTTTTTAACAAAATTTTCTTACCAAAAAAATCCACTGAACTACGTTTACATATAATTCCAGCAAATGGCCAAATTGTTAAAGGATCATCTGTAACTTCATTAAAAATTTGTTTTAGTTTAAATGCTGCTTATGCTGCAATACACAATTAAAAATTAAGATCAGAAATGATGTACCATGTTCAGTTCTGAAATGGCTTCTTAGTCTCAAATTAGTATCCATTGTTTATATGGTGTTGAAGTTTTACCACCAGGGTCTTATAGTACCATGGTGCTATATTTTATATCATGGCCTCCAGCTACAGGTATCTGAATAGATTATATAATAGAATTTATCATAAATGTGGTGCTATAACTTTAAGGAAACAGTGCTATTTGAAAATACAGAAGAGAACAATAGATGATATCATAAATTCTGTCCTTGGCTTTGTATTCTAATTTTCTTATTTGGTTGTTCACTTAAATGCCATTAATAGCTTTTTTATCGTCAATAGTACAGTCAACTATTATTTTTTAGATTTACCTCCCCTTGGTGACTGATCATTATGTCCTGTGACACACAGATCTATGTCTCTCTCTAAAAATGCTGTTCTCCATTTTTCTATTAGTTCAAGTGAATTGTCCTGTAAATAAGTGTTTTCTTTACAATCATAAATATTTCATCATATTTAATTTTCAAATATTAAAGTGTGCATACTTTAAGTTGCCTTTATATTGCGTTCCTAAAATAAAAGATACTTATACTAATATCAACTTGAGTTTCTACTTGTTTTGCAATACTGTCAAAGTTCAGGTGTTTGGCTGTGTTTTGTGATATCGCCAAGCTCTTTACTTCTTCAAACATCAGTAAGCAAGAAAAGAAATATTAAAGACAATAATTTATAAAAATGAAGGTTCTGCAAAATTTGGGTTCCATCCAATATCAAATGTATTCATGATTGTTTTAGCAGACTACTATTTGACATATATGCAGGGTTTTTGCTGGCGGTCGCCAGCGAAAAAAAAATTAAAAATTTAGCAATTAAAATTCATTACCATGATTACTGGAAAAAGAATTTGGCGAAAGAATTATGTTTTGACTTTTTGGGGGGTTTCTCAAGACTTTTTCGCTGATCAGACAATACTGAGATTTCACCTTGAACTCATCAAGCATTACGATTTTGACAGAAAATCTATAATTAGCTGATTGCAATTTATTGCTATCAGCAACAATGGACTAATTAATAAAGGTGTTGATTGTATTTCTTAATGAAATTGTGTGGTTAAATGGTGTCACATTTCAGTTAAAAGGTTTATTTTACAACTTTGGTAGAATTAATAGTTTTGAAGTGGGTACTTGAAAATCGTTTCAGCGATGCATGTGTTTGAAGCATAGTTTAACATCTCAACTTCTTCTTTTACCACAATGTTCTGGAAAATAAATCTCTTGACCTTAAGTCTTTATCCTTCAACTAAACAGGAAGTATCCGATAGACTTATTGAAGAGAAATGCCTTGAAACTTTGTTCCCAGAAGTCAAATATGACGATTTCATGATTTACATTGCAATTTTACAGTATCTTTAAAAAAGTATATGTTTGTTATTATTGAGTGTTTATCTATTACAATGTAGATTAAAAAGTACATATGCAGAACCATAAAAAATAGGACAAGAATGCTGCAAGCTGATTTTTTTTTTATAGCAGATCGAAAATTTTAAACTAAAAATATGATTATGTTATATAGTTGGCGAAAAAAAAAATAGAGAGTGGCAAAAAAAATATTGTTTTGGCGAAAGAGGTGGCAAAAAATAAAATTTTAACTACCGGTAGGTATTAAAATTACTACTGCATACCTTACTTCCATCATTGTACACAGAGACTTGAAATTTAGTTTTGTATGTTTGATTCACTATTGACTGGAAACATTCATCTATCCATCTTGAACCATTGTACACAGGAATAATTATAGTCTGAAACAAAACAAAATACATGTTCCAAGGATTACTAAAGGACTGTATCTCTTATGCAAGAAAAACTGCTCTGGTGGAGAGTTGTCGCATTGGCAATCATACCACATCTTATTTCTATACTATAAACTAGATGTTATAGGTCTATCACCAGTAAGTTTATTTGACACATCTGCTAATATGTTGTTGAAAATTGAAGTGGGAAACAAATGTCAGTGCTGTTTTTGTTGAAAGAAACTTTCTTTTTGCCTAGTCTTTCATTTTAGGCCAAGGTGGCAGTTTCTGACCTTTAAATTTCCTGCTAAAGACATATTTTTTAACAAAGAAAGTCAGTATTTTCTGTCATTGGTTTATTTACCAATACCTGCTATTGGATAAAATTTTGTAGATGTAGTTTATCCAGAATGTTGGTATATCTAGTGGGTGCCTCTAATTACATGTAGCTTAATATTTGACTTTGCATTAAAAGGGGATTGGTAAACTGCAGTGTTCTCCCCAGGGCCTTTTAGCATCATGGTAATGTGATGGTATATTTCCTGAATGTGATGCTATCTGAATTGATTTTCTTATAGGTTGTGTTATGGATGTGATGCTATAATTTTTAGAAACAAGATGGTATTTCAAATTTCCCTGTTTACCAAGATGCTATATGAAATATCTGGGGAGAACACTGAACTTCCAATATATTTCATAGAATTTTGGTATAATTTTTTGAAAACCTACATCACATTAAATAAAGAAAGATTTAGAGTTTGACAGATTGTATTGACACTATGCCTTAAATCTTTTCCTGGTATGAAGTTTTGTCTGTACTCAAGAGTAAATTTTAATGTGGAAACCCAACCATTTTATAGCTGCCAAAGGGTTCACATGAACCTTAATAACTTTTTATCTAGGTAATTTCTCAGCCATGCATTAGGGAGCCACCATTTGATTTTTATGGGGGGGGGGGGGGGGGGGGGGCTAGGATGAAAAATTTTGTCCTGCATTTATTTTTTTTAATTGTAATCTCTGTCCTGCCTTTTTTTTTATTTACTTATCCTGACTTTTTTTACATAAATTGTCATCCTGCCTTTTTTTTTTGCCAAGTTGCTCATCCTGCCATTTTTTTTCAAATTTCATCCTAGCCCCACCATAAAAATCAAATGGTAGCTCCCTTAGCTGCGGAACCGTAACTCTAATGGTCCTTATTATATTTTCTGATTTGTGCAGATTATGGTCAGCAAATTGTAAAAAAAATGGTCTGCAAATTGTCAAAAAAGATCACAAGGACCTAAGAGCTATAAATCTGCAGCTAGTCGGGTACCATGATTTCCCGATAACTCCCAAGAACTGAATATTGACCCGAGAACCGATATTTGTTTCCTGAAAACTTTATTTTATACAGTATTATAATGCTTTCACAGATGTTAAAGTTTATAATTTTGAGATACAAGTCATTTTCACTCAATAAAAATACAATTTCACTTCAAAAATTTGATATGTGTGTCTTGTTTGTAAGTTCCATACATGTGGATAACAATATGGCTGACGTAAATATTCAAAAGGTAGATAACTCTATCTAAATAAAAGTATAAAAAGTATTACATGTAATCATCTTTTTTCAAATTTAAGTTTTCCAAAGGATGTATTTACTTTTCAAATTTCCATTATTAAAGAAACTAATCCTTTGGAATGTTTTTACTCTTTTATTTGGATATAGTTATCTACCTTTTGAATATTACATCTGCCATATTGTTATGCAAGGAATTTGTATACAAGACACACAAATCGAATAATTCCTGAAGTGAAATTGTACTTATATTGAATAAGAATGAATTGTATCTCAAAATTATATACTTTTGAGTGGTATATTTTATAGATGTTCTTTGTAATCTGGTTCTGTCCTGGCCTTAAGTAACAGCTATCAGCTGGTTATTGTAAAACTCTTGTTGTTTGTAATGTGACGAAAGCTCTTTATATAGGGCCCTTTAATTGGAAATAAAATATCCGTATTCTTATACTTTAATATCTGTAAACATATATAGCTTTTGGGTAATTCTTTCGGTTCTTGGGTCAATATAATTTTAGTTCTTGGGAGTTCTCGGGAAATCGTGGTACCGCAGTTAGTCATGCATATGATGAATTTAGGCCCCCAAAAAAGAGATAAGTTAAGTAATTCAGTAACTTCAATGTGCTTAAACCATTCGAATTTAGTGAGATAATTCTTACCACCTCTGTCATTTTGTGACAGAAATAGCATCATGTTTCAGCTCTATATCTGGTTCTATCTCTTTTCCATTAATTACCAGAGCTGACACTATTTTCATTGGAACCAGTCGCAAAATAATAAAAGCTTACTCGTTCACGGACGGTCGAGGACAGATATACGTAAATAAAATAAAAAGATGGACATTTTTTATAAAAATAACATATATTATTTCAAGGAACATATAACACGTTAGTAAAATCCGATAGACTAAGTTTATAGTTAACGGGAGACAATTCAATTTTGGTTCGAAGAGATAGTTTTCCTTTTAAGCATTTTTATCCCCATGTTTCTTCATGGTAATCTTCATTCAAGTAAAACAGGACAAACGACAAAGATTTTTTTCTTTCTTTGATAATGATGTTCCGTACATTCTGGTGCCTCGTGGAGCTGGGACTATTATACTCAATAGATTATGTCCCCGGGTGAACTTATGATATTTCTCGGTTGGTTGGATGTATATATGTAACAGCCACTATGTTCCGTCAGTTACTTTGTTCCGGCGGAACTTTTCAACTAGTTATTTCGTTCCGATGGAACTTTCCAACTAGTTGTTTTATTCCGAGTGCAGTCGAAAAGTTCCGGAAAAAAGTAGCTAGTTGAAAAGTCCCGGAACAATGTAGCTAGTTGAATAGTTCTGGCGGAACAGAACAACTAGTTACATCGTTCCGAATATACCATATTTCGTCCTTTTTTGTAGAAAGAGGGGGAAGAATGAGTATCAGTATATATAAGAGCAAATCATTAATTTACAAGAATACCCAATTAACGCACTGAAAGGGGTTTCTTTGGGGACAAATATGCAAAATTTAAGTTGTATTTCATAGCTCACATAAAACGGAATAAGTTGCATTATCATGCAAATTTGGTTCTTTGCATTAATTCTCCAAATGGAACTTTGTGACTGGTTGATAAGTTCCGTTGGAACTTTTGGGCTAGTTTGTTAGTTCCGGTTTTGACTTATGTGCCAAAGAGGAACTTTGTGGCTAGTTGATAAGTTCCTTTTGACTTTTGTAATCAGTATCTTGGTTTCCCTTTGAAAGGTTCAAATATAATATGTTGAGCTTTTACTTTGCATCTATTCTCCAAATGGAACTTTCTGCCTGGTTGATAAGTTCCGTTGGAACTTTTGGGCTAGTTTGTTAGTTCCGGTTTTGACTTATGTGCCAAAGAGGAACTTTGTGGCTAGTTGATAAGTTCCTTTTGACTTTTGTAATCAGTATCTTGGTTTCCCTTTGAAAGGTTCAAATATAATATGTTGAGCTTTTACTTTGCATCTATTCTCCAAATGGAACTTTCTGCCTGGTTGATAAGTTCCGTTGGAACTTTTGGGCTAGTTTGTTAGTTCCGGTTTTGACTTATGTGCCAAAGAGGAACTTTGTGGCTAGTTGATAAGTTCCTTTTGACTTTTGTAATCAGTATCTTGGTTTCCCTTTGAAAGGTTCAAATATAATATGTTGAGCTTTTACTTTGCATCTATTCTCCAAATGGAACTTTCTGCCTGGTTGATAAGTTCCGTTGGAACTTTTGGGCTAGTTTGTTAGTTCCGGTTTTGACTTATGTGACAAAGAGGAACTTTGTGGCTAGTTGATAAGTTCCTTTTGACTTTTGTAATCAGTATCTTGGTTTCCCTTTGAAAGGTTCAAATATAATATGTTGAGCTTTTACTTTGCATCTATTCTCCAAATGGAACTTTCTGCCTGGTTGATAAGTTCCGTTGGAACTTTTGGGCTAGTTTGTTAGTTCCGGTTTTGACTAATTTGGCAAAAAGGAACTTTCTAACTAGTTGATATGTTCCGTTGGAACTTTTCAACTAGTCACTTTGTTCCGGTGGAACTTTTAAACCAGAGGAAGAACAAAGTAACTAGTTAATAAGTTCCTCCGGAACTTTCCGGCTAGTTAGTTCTTTCCGCCCGGAACTTTCCAACGTCGGAACAAAAGACCATTTACATATACATGTACGTGTTTTCTGTGACAGAAAACATTATCTGACTGATATCTAAGAAATTATACCAGAAGGAAAACAAAATTTTCATAACTGAAAACTTTTACAACAAGAATTAAGACATTATTGGATTGGTTCAAACTTGTATTTTATCCCAATTTTAATCAAGTCACTCCAGCAGGAATTAAATCGAATAAGTGGCATCTCACATCCAGTTTTTGAGGTATAATATCATTCCAAAAACAGTTAAGTATAAAAATTGTCGTTCAGATTGCCGGGTTCTGTTTTGCTTAGCAGACTTTTGGTTCCTGGTTAATATTATGATGTTGTTTAAAAGTCATTGCACATTATCGTGTTTTTTTTCTGCACTCAGTTCATAATGTCACCACAGTGCTGTGAAAATTCTACTTAAAAGTAAAGTATCCGATATTATCGTATGATTATTAGGCATGATTCAGTCTATATCAGAACTGAAATCTTGGCGCTTGCTTTAATTAACTGTGAATATCTTATGGTATGGGATTCATTCGTCTTGCTTTAACTGTATCTCACGTGTTTTGGGTCTCCTATTTGGTTTAAATAACTGTGAATATTTTATGGTATGGGATTCATTCGTTTTGCTTTAACTGTATCTCAAGTGTTTTGGGTCTCCCCTTTGCTTTAACTGTATCTCACGTGTTTTGGGTTTCCCCTGATACCTATATATATTACTTAGTTCTAAGTGCTTAAATTCCTAAACTTATTTTCTTGTTGTAAGATCTTCTGCTTACCTTTGTTGTTCAACTTGGTCGAAATAAAAACGGGATATTAATGTGACTGCCCAAAGTTCCAAGTGGAGACAAAGCAGGGTTTAAACATATTAATGCGTTATGATTATGCGTGTAATATTTGCTACTAGACGCTGAGAAGGCCCGAACTGATTGATTTCTGTTTGGTTTATGTCCAATGACAAATATTCCATACATATTCAGTACGAGAACAAATTGTCAAAATGGTAGATTCTGCAAAGAGGGTCGACCAAGATGATTCATGGTAAATTTAGAGTGTAAAGTAAGCTTTGTTTGATACAAGCAGCAAATATTCCTTGCTACAGGTTAACTTCGAGTCCCTCAAAAGGATTGTTGCAAGTGTTCTTTCATTGAAAGTTCAGAGGGCACTAGACACTCACCGGCCTACAAGAGAAGTTGAAGTTAACGCCCAAATCAGTCTGATCGTAGCTACGCATTTATACATCCTAACACGCGGCCAAATAGACGCCCCTAAGCATGGGTATTAGAAAAGTCCAGATTAACTTATTTCTATACTCCAGTAAACCTTGGAGTACCCGGTCCTTTGCGTATTATCAAGGATTAAGTTTTAACCCATACAATGTTTTAAGTAGGTACAAGGACATATATTTTAGATATAAATATAGATCCGTGGTCGTTATTTAAAAATATAAGATATAGATAATATTGCATTTCATAAAGCATTTTTTTATTCAGGTAGTTACTCAACCATTTAAGGTCCGAGGTTTTTATTCATTGCATACATTTGGATATCTCTCAATAACCATTGCCCATATATTTTATAGCTGGTGCACCATCTACTTAAGGAATGACTGTATAATATTTGTTCTGTCTATTCGAAATAACATCAAAAATGTGGTGTACACTAAATAACCCGCGTAGCGTAGCGGGTTATTTGCAAGTGTGCATCACATTTTTGAGGTTATTTCGAATAGACAGAAAAAATATTAGTCATTTCTTATTATTTAATTCTAAATTCCATTTTTAAGGAGTAAATCATGAAAAAAAACCGTTGATGACATCACGGACACATGACATGTCTATGAGCTGATAGACAAAAAAACTTTCAGCCGATCAGAAGACGTGTTATATCCAAAATAAAATTATGAGATATATTGTGACCCTTATATGTAAATATAACGTTGCTCAGTTTTTTAAACATACATATGGGTTTTGCTCATTGTTGAAAGCCGTACGGTAACCTATAGTTGTTAACTTCTACGTCATTTGGTCGCTGGTGGAGAGTTGTCTCATTGACAATCATACCATATCTTCTTATTTTTATAAAGGCTAATAGCTTATCTATCTCAAAAGAGTATTTGAATAAAAGGAGTACATGACATTCTTACGTGCAAATCATTTACACGAAACTTGTAGATTAAGGTAATCAGAACTTTGGTTTTTCTCTTTATATTTAATCAGCTAAGATTACATAAAGGCAGTTGGTTTATTTCTACTTAAGTGGATAGGATCTGAACATAATGTTACACTTGGAAGAATGTTTAAACAAATCTTATATCACTTGTTGATCGCCACTTTTTAAAGATCTGTAGGAAAAACCATTAAAATTTATTATTTATGTCATGACAAGATTTCTAATCACCGTGATATCCTTGGGCTCGTTAATATACCACAACTTGTACATAAATATTAAAATTATTTCAACGTCTTGACATTTCTTTGGCAGACGACAATTTTAAAAGTCACGTGGAAGACGTCGTTGAACCGTGGCGTTTACACTTGCGTGATTACGCGTGTCACTCTCGACAACTATTGGTTCACGGCTTGGTGTTCAACCACTTGTCACTCGAACAGAGTAAATACTTTCTACGATATCATTAGTATAGTACGGATTAAAAAAATGTAGGACTATGTAAAACGTTATTAGAAGTGATGATGGCCTGCATGGCTATCTACTGGACAATTATTTCTCTGTATCTTAGTATATTTATAGTTAAAGCGCAAAATATTTGCTACAAATGTGATTGTACTATCAGGTAAGTAAATATTATCTACCTATATATATGATATATTAAAATTTCACCTTAAGATGTCTACAGTCATAAGACCTGTAAACTTAGTGCAAACAAACTATATACGTATGTGTGCATTTAAATCGTATTTTTTTTATTTCTTTACACTGTCACTTATTGTAACTTAATTACTTTGTTTCTTGTTACATTGCGTTTTTTTAATTAAGTGCAGAAGAAAATTTTATAGAATTTTTTAATTTCGACAAATAAGTTTCAAAACTAGACTATGTGACACTCCGTGCTGTTTAATATATGAATATAATACTTCAATCCGAGTATTTCATACTCGAGATTTCATAAACTTAAAACATGTTTTCGTATGAAATTTATAAATAAGATACATTCGTGTAAAAATACTTATAAATAATATTATTTGTGTTTATTCATTTCTATTATTTGTTTAGGGGACAACCATTTGAAATCCGTATTTGTATGTGTGTGGTGGTGGGGGTGGGGGGTCGGGGTTGTGTGTGGGGGGGGGGGGGGTAGGATGTTTTTTTGCTGATTGCCTATTCATTTTAATCTGTTGCTACACATGAAAATTTTAATATATAAAAAATGAAAACAACACGTTATAAATGTCATGCGTCAAAGCCGAATATTTGAAAGCCAAGAATGTAAAATAACCTATTGAAGAGCTATATGACCAAAAAGGACCTGTATATTGATAATATGAAAAGGTCGTCCCCTTAGTCATTTTATGTGTATAGGAAAAACTAAAGTTATTTTTTTATAGGCTCAGAACCCTTGGTTTTTCTTGAGCATTTGACTGTGAACCGACAATGGGTCCTGGTCGTTTGAAAAGGTGGATGAAAGTGTTCACGGCAATTCTTGATTTTGTAATTCAATAACGTCCATTGAATATATATCGGAAACCGAGTTTGAAAGATTTTTCAAATTTTCAATTTTTCACACACGGTCGGTCCATTTCCAAGCTAAGTCTCTCAGTCCTGGGACTATATGCATGCATTATCTATTGGCACAAGCTCATATCTTTATTTAAAATTCTCATTATCACAACTTCATGTGTGTGTAAACTCACTTCCTGGTTTTCACAGTTTTATATGTCAAAACATTTGACTAATTATACTTATAGATGTCGATTTTGAAAATAAAATCCGATACAAATTATTGTTTTCCAGCTATAAAGTTGTCAATGACAGTCTAATAATAATAATGATAATAATACAGTATTAATATGCATTTAAAAAAATTAAATTAAATAATATATTAAAAACAAACAAGCCCCCCCCCCCCCTCATTTTGACTCTTACTCCATGTTAGACAAATTGAAGTGATTAACTTCCTCCAATTGGTTTTCTGTTTGTTGACTACTCTGCAGCGAATTAATAGTTAGGACGAGTACAAAGCAAAGTAACACTGTATCAATTTTTAGGATATACGAACCAAATGATATTGATGACAAGTGCTATTTCAGTTCCCTTGTCCAACAAAACCCCGTACAATCAATCAAGCCGCTAAACATGACTATATACCTTTTATTCCCAATATGGTGAATAGAACGTTTTACTCAACTTCAAGATATTAATATAATGTATAAAAGAAAAAGAAAAAAAGATGTCTTCAATATTTCGAATTATAAATCGCATCGAGTCGGAAAAGTTGTGTATGAATTCAATATATATGAATTGTTTTCATTACGATTGTTAGTATTTACACGTACTTTTAGAATTACTAGAAGTCCCTCTTCTTGAATTAGCCCCCCTCCAAATATCCATCTATGCATTCTAGTCGACCCTGCTTCAGGAGAAAGGGGAAGGAGTCTGAATACATCTTTTATTAAAGATTGCTTAATATTTCTGACGGAGAAGGAACTGGAGCACGACTTTTCTGTACTTTCAGTTGTGGTGTTTGGTTCCGATTGAAATATGTAAAGTATGGGTGTTGTGTTTAGTTTAATGTCGTCGAACTTTTTATCAACTGAATGCACCTGTTATTAAGGAGCAAGGAACAAGTAACCACAAGTTTCACTTAAGAATCTACCTTGCATAATGCTGTAATAAAATTTAGAAAGCATGAAATTAAATGGAGAAACACTTTCATCACAGCGTACGTTTCTTTCTGCTACATTAATTTTAGATAAGTAATAACAAGCTTAAGAAAGATGCAAATAAGGTTTATCTTAGTCAATGATAAGGTGAAATTATGAAGCAATTTGTATAAAAATATAGATAAAGATGAGAAACAGTTTCGTTAATGACGAGATATTTTTTACGGTGTCGTTGTCCTTAAGATCTGACCATTTTCCCCAGACAAAGTGGAGTCATTGCGCTGTCTTATACAGTACAAAAGGTCTCCTTAAGTGTCTATGTCTTACTAAACCGTTGAAAACAGTTACCATGCAGGTCTCCTTTAGTGTCCATGTCTTACTAGACAAAACAGTTACCATGCAGGTCTCCTTTAGTATCCATGTCTTACTAGACAAAACAGTTACCAAACAGGTCTCCTTTAGTGTCCATGTCTTACTAGACAAAACAGTTACCATGCAGGTCTCCTTTAGTGTCTATGTCTTACTAGACAAACAAAATGCCCCCGACTATACACACTATCGGACAGGAGAGCGATTAATGATTGAAAAAAAATCTTTGAACAAACTCTCATGTTTTTTTTTCTTCATCGGACCCCAGTCTTTTTGTGCAAAATAACAAGATAAGATTAGGTCTGTCCCCCAGTAACTGTGCAAAACAGGGTCGTATATGTCATTTCTCAACCCAATCTGATTAAAATTCAGAACTATCGCAACTCGCTTGCTGGTCGAAGTAAGCGAGTTGCGATAGATCTGAATTTTAATTACATTGGATTAAGAATGTGTCAGACTAACACAAGACACACACAGCAGAAAAAAACATGTTTATGTCGTTGGGTGCTGTCTAATTGACATATATCTCTTACATCTCCTTTTAATCTTACTGAAGTAATTCAAATTAATGGTACATGATGAAAATCGTGCAAAGGGTTTAGAGTTGGGAGGTCAGTAGTCTTAGAATCAAATCTTGGCTACTGCAAGTCTTTGTATTATCTATGTAAACGTTTTTGATAGGGTTTGATATGCGCTGTTGTGAAATTTGGAACTTACTTTTGATGTGAAGTATTTAAAAATTGGAATACTTAGTCGACATCTCGCTCATTTCGAATTCATTTAAACATTCCCCAAACAATTTAGTTGCGAAGAAGGTCGATACAGATATACAATTTGTATACTTTTTTGGAGATAATTACTTTTTGCTTAATTAAATTGATAAAGTCGTATTTTAAGTTTGACACATGCTTAATAATTTTTGTACAAAAATGGATATTCAAGGTAAATAGAAGTGATAATGATTAAAAGGGAAGTTTTTAGTGAATCACTCGACTACAAAAGCACGCACATCAAACAATATGTAAAAAGGAAAAATCTTTAGAAACAGCTAAACAAAAGTAAATGATATCTGTAGTGAAATTGAGCCGGACATTTAAAGAAAAGTTTCAAACACTTCTTTTATTGTCTCCAGATAAGACATAATAATAAGAAAACACGAAACGCGTCTTTTATTATTTATTCTTGCCATAAATATGACTAAGCTGAAGAGCAGATCTGACCACCCAGGGTAGACTTGGATAAAACATACTTGAATAGGGATATAACACTTCAAATAAGCAAGCAACGAAAATATATTCGATTGCCATGATTACCCCATGCTCTTGGCTATCTTCTATTAAACTGTTATGGGTCTTTAAAATGTAATCCGATTTTTGTTAAAAGAATAAATTTTAAAGCTGGGATGACTGAAAAAAGCCCAGGATATTGTGGCAATTTGTTAAAATCCATCGTTATCAAGGATTTGTAGCAAAACGAAAGAGATAGTGAATTGTAAAGATTTATTTAAAACTCCTCGACAACGGAGGAATAAGAGAATTAAAACGTTCTTCTGTGCTTAAGCTATATCTAATTTATTTTTCACAGCAGGGTATGTAAGCACGAGTACAGGATTTCGTTATCGGTGTAAACTTTGTCTTTATTTACAGTATGAATGTTATCAGTACCCACTCTCCGTATACTGACATTTCCGTAGATACACGGCTACCGATGGATCTAGTTGTCAGAGACATTTATCTATTTGCAGTGTATAATGACGAAAAAATAGTACAATTTAAAGTCCACTGTTAAACTGTTTTTATTAATCTTTCTTTTTACAGTTTATTCAGTGCATGTACATTTGAACCTTTTTTGTGGATATAAGCAAAGTAGATCCAAATTAAAGCTCTAATATACTACCTTCAGCGATCATTGTATTTTATCTGTTCAGCTATATTTTTGCATTGTCACTTATTTAAAAACTTTGATGCTCTGAAAATGTACTTAAAATGTAGCACCATTTTTAATCACTCCAAAATTATTGTACTACTTTGATATCACAATTTTATAGTGATTTTCTACAAGCATACAACGTATTTGTACTGATTTTAAATGTAGTGCCATGCTATGAACGGAAAATTCCCCAAGATACCCGCTAAAAGTAATGGGCCAACTATATTTGGAAAGACTTCAATTTGAACCCCGTCTTCTGACAATAAAAATAAACACACACGAGGGGGTCCACTATTTGGTCTGAGGAATGATTGAGAGGCTACACGGCCTTTTTTTTTATGGTTTATGTGATACCTATAGTAGGACATTGTTCTTCCAGGATTTTCAACAACAAAAAAAATCACCATCAATTAAGCAGATGAGACTTGTCATGATCTGCACTCTTGTTTTAAAAGATTTACCATGCTTTAGTCCCATAACAATGCCTATGCAGTTAATTGAATTGTCGTGTGCGTAGTGTAGACAGTTGAAGGTATAAGTAAACATAACATATATATTAAACTTATTTCAGCGAGGAGTATTCAGATGTCCGAGCAGTGCGCAAGGTACAACCAGTGTGTAATGAAGGTAGTTTCAAATGGTATAATGTTTATGGAGGCGCCCTCAGAATTAACTTTAAACCAATATTCCGTGGTGACTTTCGGCTGTGTTTCGTCTTGCATGCAGAAAATGCAAGAGTTCAGATTTCACAAGAACTTCCAAATGAGTCTACATACAGTGTAAACTATAAACGACCTGCGGGCTTAAAACGACTTCTAGCAGCAGACGGCAGGACTAATGAGACATGTATAACGTCGTCTGGTGATAACATCCATTTATTTCTAGAACCAGAAAGAACTGTAGAATCTACTGGCTTTAGTTTTGTTGACATGAAATTTATAATGGAAAAAAATAACGAAGAACTTGTGTACAACACAAAAGAAGGTAAGCAAAAACATATCACGCCCAGTTTTTGGTGGGTCTCGTGTTGCTCAATCTTTAGTTTTCTATGTTGTGTTTTATGTACAGTTGTTTGTCTGTTTGTCTGTTGGTCTTTTTCATTTTTTTATATGGCTTTATCAGTTTATTTTCTACTTATGAGTTTGAATGTCCCTTTGGTACCTTTCGCCTTTCTGTTATAGATTTTCTATTTTGTACAGATTTGTGTGAAAGACCGAAAGACGTTCGAACTGCCACTTGTTTGTAGTTTCATTCTAGACATCTTTAAAAAATTTCATAGCACATTAATTAAATAGTCTCATATTTACATATATCAAAACTGTATACTTCTAATTTTAAAAGAAATCGTAAAATTAATTTTTGGAGAACGTGTTTTGTTTGATATTTGAAGTTTACCGTTGATCAGTTTTAATGGCTAGTCATTTAAATTTCGTTTACAATAATTTCTTGTTGAGCATACAAAAGTAATTCGACAAAGTTACATTAATACCTCGCAAGTCTTTATATCATTCCAGCATGTGACAGAACATGCATCTTTTAAGTCAATATACCCCTTAAACATTGATATAACGGTCCAGTGTTTCATGCAGGTGTGCTAATAAAATCGGTTCAGGTCAACATTAAGGTTTTTAATTAAATTGGGAAACGATTTAAATTAGAAGTGGTAATCTCCTATTGACTAGGTATAACGATGTGTCGAAACATGTTGACAGAACAATGCTAAGATGGTTCTCAATGAGTTTTTAACCTGTACAATTGTTAGTTTGACTATCACAATTCCAACCTTATGTTTGTTAAGAAACAACTTAAGAACAACCAATTGGTTTTAAATCTCCCTCATATGAAAACTGTATTTAATTTTCAGGTGACAGTAAATAGATGATCGTTGTCCCCTATGGAAAATCAATCTCCGTGAATATTTCCATTTCTAATAAGTTTTTAATGCAATTGAAATGGATTCTTTATGATAACCATTAATTTCTGTTGGGTCAAAATGTTTTTTATAGCGTTGGCTTATTCTGAGCATTTTTATTGAGACTTAATGTAGCTTGGTATTTTACGATGTCATGCTGGAATATAGAAGTAAAGTTAGTAGATCAATACAAGTACAATGACCCGTGGAAGACCTGTTTAAAAAAAAAGTGTCAAAATCTTTAGATGTTCATGAAAAGAAATAATATTTATATTCAAAATCCGATTCGTACAATCTGTAGACTAAAAATCACTAAAAATCAATCTGTTTTCTGTCATCAGAAGCTAGGGAAACGTTCCAACATGTCCCCTGGATCCACACTGAGGGAGATATTTCATTTTAAACCCATTTAGTTAGTACTAATCGCCATAGAATGTATATTTGCATTAATGTCTTGTCTGTGATGAAAGACTATACTTTATACTTTTTCCCTCCGTAGCAATACAAGGCAATGTTTTGTTTGTAGATGATATTTCAGTCTGAAATTAATCATATGGCCACATCATTTCCAGATGATATTAAAGTTGGTTACGTTAATAAGTGTGTATCTCAGAAATTATACTTAGCATGTTGAAAATATTCTGCACGTGAATTAGTTACATATACATGGACATACGGGCTTTACAGGTTTCATTTGTTCCTTTTTAATAATGAGTTAGCGTGGCTTTGTTTAATTCTAAAATTGCATTATTTATCAAAGTCTAAAATTGCATTATTAAAGTCTAAAATTGCAGGAGGCGAGAGATTTTACTGTGTTAAATCTTGTCGAAATATCAATTGGTTGGAAACAATAAAACCCATTCTTGTTAAACAAAAATAAACAGGATAAATCTTTAAAAAAAATGAAATGATTTATTTTTAAGGGTTTAAAAAAAAGATAATTCAGTTTTACAATTCATTAGGCATTTTTGGCTAGATATGTAATTTAGCGTTTGACCCTGGCACTTTGAATTCGATCCCAGATTTCTCATTAAGCAGTTAAATTGTCAAACTTGAATTATAACTGGTTTTTAAAGATTTGTAAAATATAAAAGAAGATTATTACAGGCCATCCATTTCAGTTTTCCTCTACATTAATTTTATGTCATACAGAAAGAATTGAAATGGGCACTTTTATCTCTATCATTATTATTATTCTATGTAAATTTGAAAATGAAAAATTTAAATAATTCGTCATGGTCGTCCTTGATGTCATAAATATCACATCATAAAATGTTTACTAGACATTGAGAGTCAACAGTATTATTATACTGTTACAGTTAGAAAGGATACAAAGTAATAAAGTAGAAGATTTTCCTATTTTAAATGCATCAGGCATGCGATATTCTTTTCTGTTAAGTTTGAGTTACAAGATGACCTAGGTGATAGTGAATATTAAACAAAATGAACAAAAGATCAGATACAGGTAAACCAGATATCAATTTACCTCGTCACCCATGTCTGTCATCCTCGAGAGATGTAACTAAAGATAGATTAAAAACTAATTTTACAAGGAACTGGTAGAATTCAATTAAACTTACATTTTGAAATTCCCCAAGGATTTATTGGTGGAAATATTACAATTTCCGGAAGGTCTTCATTTCGAACCCCCTCTGTCGACGGAATAAGTATCGACATACATGATGGAAGGTTCAATAGGAAGTCTTGCCCAGTTGCCTATTAATTCTAAAGCTTTCAAGAAGTCGTTTCATTGTTTATAAATAAAGCTGAACAGTTGCAGAACCAGGATGTTGAAAAGGGGGAACCCACCACGGCAACGTTAGGAGTGGGACTTGTAAAAAGTCTATGCCTCACCCTCCCGAATCCGCCTCTAGTCAATGGTTAAAAGATAATTGACCTGTTCCTTATGTCAAAAATGCATATGATGAAAACATCACACATAAAACAGGAACATAGTCACATAACCATAAAACCATGTGCCGGCGTTCATATAAATACAATTCCGTGTAGTATTTTATGTAAAATAATGATAGTTATACGACTGAAAAAATTACAAGTTTTAGGCGCCATCGTGATACTAGTTCTAAATTTATGACCGAGTTCCCAACAAACACAAAATATCTTAAAAATGTTATTTATAGACCCTTTACAATTTAAACTGCATTACAATCATACAACATAGCGTACAAGAAAACTAAAACATTTATAAGTCAATTTTTGTTGTTGTTTTAGGGGGTGTTGTAAATATTTTGCTTCTGTTACCGATTTTTAATATGAAGTGGGTGTTTAGTTGAAATTTAACAATATTATATATCAATACTCGTCTACAGAACTAAATGAAAACGAATAAGTCCTAGGACAGAATATCATATACAAATTATTTTTTTTTGTTTCAGAGTGTAGACCATGTACCGATATAGAGCTTATAAAAGCATACTGTTCCCACTCAGATGTCGGTAAGTGTGAGTACAGAACAGTTAAAACACAACTGTCTCCAGGGAACCCAAGTTTGCCCTGCATTTTATATTTTGCTTCTCTTAATGAGTTATTTTTTTCCTTCAATCGTCATTAACAAGTCATATAGCTTTGAAGTAACATAAGAAATGAGATTTTTATCATCAGGGGATCTTCTTAGTAAAGGACTTTAAATCGGATCTTTCATTTAATGGTAGAATGTCGTGAATAAACAAAATGTCATCTTTTCCTTAAACCTATCAGACTATAAAGCCTGTATATACATATCTGACATAACTCAGGGTTCATTTCACTGTATATGTTATATAAGACGTATGTTTTTGTAATTTCTATGCAGAATCAGTCTTTTTAAATTTACTGAAGCATAAACAAATAAAAAAGAACATCGAATTTAATACAAATGTAAATAATATTTGACATCATGTCTTATGTCATAAATAACTTGTGAATACACGGATATATGTTTTATCCTGAGGCTGAAAATGTTCAAAAAGTTTTAAAACTCTCTCCACTTATCGAAAAAGAGTGAGAAAAGTTTGAATACATATATACTACGGATTCGATATCATCGGGTCACTTGTGTATGTAATGGTTAACAGAAGGGTGGCGCAAATTGGTATATTACCACCTCTAACGTATATAGTCGGAATTATTTCAAACTAGTACATTTTTCATAACTTCTTTTCCATTTTCCCATTTATTTATTTTTTTTATAATTTTCATCTTTTCTCATATATTTGATTTAATATTGGCATGTATTCGTCCTGATTACTTGTGTGATATTTGCCGCTGGACGTTAGGCGTTAAAAATGCCTCTCTCATAACCATGTACCAATGATCTCTACACCTGCCTTTGTTTGTCAGCAGTTGAGCCATTTCGTCGAGACATTAACACAATAGTAAAACTATGAGATACAATAAAAGTACTGGACAGCAATGTTTAAAGTAACTAAGGTCCATATATTCTTTATAGTCAACTAGGATTTTATCAATACAAACAACAATCTACAACTCAGTCTTTTGCATTTTTTTACAGTGATTGTAGGGTCTATGGACGACGTTAAACATATACAAGATCAAACTGATATTAACATCAAGATTTCTAAAGTAATCCGCAATAGGGAACTTTTGATAGAGGGACCAAAGAAAAGAAATGGACCTTATATTACAGAAACAATGACAAGGCATAGACAGTGTGGTGTCGAATATGGACCAGGATTATTTTTATTCACTGGAAAATGGCGATTAGGGCAGCTAAAAATGACTTGTTCTCCGTATTTTAATGACTGGAGCTTAGTATCCAAACGAGCAGTATTAGAAGGTTCAATGGATTGTCCTGTTGTCAGCTAGTAGTGTTTGAAGTTTTTGAACAGAACTGTGATATTGTTAAACGTGCAATGTATTTGTAAATATGCTTTAAAATTGTTATTTTATTTCAAAGTTTATTGTATTACAATAAGATCTCAGTTATCATGTTTCACATTGACACTGTATATATTTCATTTCTACAGATTCTGATAAATTTATTGTCCAGATTTTGTTGGGTGGGGACAATGAAATATCAGATAACAGGGTGTACTGATTATAACTTAAATTTTAGTACCTGTTAACTTCATCACATACCTACTGAAATATGTTTTATAATACACGGGCACCTGTCATCCTATACTTTAGGTAAACATAAATTTGCAGTAAAACATACCAATGCATTCATTAAGTTGATAACCCGCGCCGTTGCTTTTAGGGACAAGTTGCATTGACCATGAAGTTTCATATGACCCATTAGGAGAATGAAGTTTTACTTTCACCTGTATGTCGTATTTACAGAAAATGAGCAAGAATGTGAACATTATAAATGAGTTTACCCATATGTATCATTTGAACATGCACTTACTTATGTTGATGCACATTCACTTTCATTACTGAACATAAAAATTTCAGCATACAATATGTAAATAGCTGTTAGTAATGCATTAAAAAGTATAAAACTTTTGATGCATGTAAGCAAGGATTTGTACTATACAAATCCTTGATGTAAGTAAGTTAAAATATTTACTTCCGAAACTTTTGTAAAAAGGTTGAAAAAAAGGATGTCAAGGTGAATAAAAAAAAATCATTTTTTTCGAAGGACAGACAGCACAAAGAGTAAAATAGAAAAATAAAAACAGTTCATAAAACTTTACACAGAAATCTGAAGATTGAAAAAAACACTGAAAAACTGGAATACTGAAATCGTAGGGTCCAAAATGGTAGACAGTTCCTGTTTCAATAGTGGAAAGTAGCAGAGTGTCGTGTTTCTCATTTAAATGATAATCTGTTTCAAACCCAAAGCTGTCTTTCCTTTCTTCATGTCTATTGCTTTTAAGACGTGTGTCATGACATTCAGTAACAAATGATTTACAAAATGTTTTATAGTTGGGTCTTGAGAATTACTAGTAACTGTTATGTATAACAAGATTCAGTATATTCAGGAAATATCCTTATGGTTAAACAAGACATTCTTTCCTCCAACAATATATATTTCTGATGTATTGGTTCTGCATAACAATAATATTATTATAATATTTTAATATTAAAAAAAAATAATTTAGTTAATGTCAGAGACTTGAGAAATATTAGCTGGTTATGATTTGTGTTTGAGATCTCCAAAATGTTAATTATGTGTTCATTGATTCAGAAGAATTAAAAATATATATGTAAAGGTGTATGTTTTATGACTTGAATATTAATTACAGCATGTTATATGTGACACGCGACATCATTTAACACTAATGTCCAGCATAGCCCAAATTATAGTAAACTTATCATCCGTGTAGAAATTAAGGAACTGTCGAGTTAGGTCAACATTTATAACTATGATTGTAATTGTTTGACCATTTTTTTATGTTTTTGTACTTCAGTTCAACCTTCTTTCTTGTCGAGTATACTAGAAAAAAATGAGGAAGAAAATAATAAAAACTGCTATTAACCACTGGTATTACGGAGCCTTAAGTGTGAATACCTGTAGTTTATGGGAATAAAGTGGCAGTTTGGATAATATACCACTGGATTTTTTAGTATACCTCAACCTGAGAACATACTATAAAAATCGTATTTATAATTAAGAAGGCATGGTCGGTTCAAGGAACCAAGATATACCTATCGAGTACATAATCGCTCAGGGCATTAAGTTGCACATTTTAGTTTATATATGCAGTGCACATGGAAACCTACTATTCGGTGTAAATACATTACAATCTTCCTTTTAACAACATTTTAATTTCTTCACAATTTGGATGGTTCATTTTTTTTATACATCAAACAGATATAGATATTTACCATATATTCGTACCACAATCTTCCGACACATCCCCCCTATTTCACGTTTCGGTGTCAAGGAAGTTGTTGTTTTCTGTTGCTAGCCAATAAACGTAGACATGACCCATGGGTCTTTTGTAGAGGCATACACATTTTAGACATTATTTTCATTATGTCACACTGAAAAGCAATATAAGTAAAACGGGTCTGTTGTGAAATGGAAAAACTTGAAAATAAGCGTATATTCCAGGAGGTTCGGAATTAGTCCGATACTACTCTGATGTTTGATGGCTTGTTTCGAGCACTGGTTGTGTCATGTCCGAGGTCCTGATTTAGACATTGGTTGCGGCCACTGTCCAAATTAGTCCCCAAAACAGACCGTCGGACGTCAGAGCAATCTCGGAGGCTACCTCGGAATGTCGCTGTGGAGTAATTTGAATACATTAATTGAGTTTAGTGTGGAAATCCAATAGTTCTGGTTAATTGATATGAATATCTGTTGAAAATTTAAAAAAAACAATAGACATGTCTCGCATCTTTTATCGATGTTTATATCACCATTGTTGACAATCTTAATTGCGAATGCCTGTCCCAAGTCGGTAATTTGTTTTAGTTCTACCTTGACATTTTTGTTCGTTAGAAAATTTGGTGTAGATTGCAGATTTTGTATATAGGCTTCTGTGGAATTTACTTAATATTAGGACTTTGATCGATTTAGAGCTTTAATATATGGCATAGATGCTATGCCGAGTACTGTATACACACCTCTACATGTCTTGTTTACATACGTGACGTTAGTTGCAGTCTCTTTGATTATACCCCATATATCCTTTTATTCACTTTGACATTTTTTTACAGGCGCTACCATGGAAATGCGATGATAGATTGATTATGTACACGTTTTTGTTCGTTATTCTATTAGAAACGACGGATAAGAAAGTCTGTTAAAAGTTTTTCTAACTGTTTTCTTAATCCTTGGGTAAACTTCAGGTCAAGTGGAGATATAAAGAAAACACAAACACCTGCCGTGATTAATTACGGTCGTAAGATAATAGCTGGCCGTTAAATTATCGTTGTAAATAATGCCGTCACTCACGACTATACGTTTCGTATTGTTAGTAATCTATGGTGCGTACGCCTAAGGGTAAGTGATACCTGGTAAAGGGTCAGAGGATGAACACTGTAATCTTAGGTTTTATGTTCTCTATGTTTCTGTGCGATTGCACCTTTGATAACAAACTTAACAATTAAAGAAAATGATACGTCTTGAACCTTGAATAAACCACCAGTACATGTTTTGCGTGATAAAGTACAGATAAAGACATCTCTTGTATTTGACGATCAAAGCAAACGTTCCGGCTCATCACATAAAACGCGAAGTTTCTAATTTCTTAAGTTAATTCTAATTGTCATCATTATATGAGTATAAAAACATATAAATCTGCACTGTTAAAACATTCAAAATGCCTCCCATGAGCCTGAATAAATCATTGCCGACTATTTTGTCAGTTAAAGTGCAAACAGGATGCTGGTTAATGTCCAAGATATTTCAGTACATTGATTTATCAGATGTAAGTAGATTTTCCAAGAAGATCAACAATAAAGAAAGCTTAAGGTTCAATTTATATAATAAATGTCGTACATTTCTCAGATTTTACCTAAATCCCTTGGATGAGTTCTGATTGATATTTTTGTCTGGGAAGACACGATTTATTTTTTAGTTGTGATTGGCTTTGAACTAGCTTTCTGTTACTGCGAGTACTCTCAAATATGTACTTTGTATATTTTGTCTTTTTATTTCTTCTAAATCTGATGATTCGAGCCTATTCTAATTGATCTTTACAGTTTGTATTTTTGTTGTGCTGTTACTCCTCTGACCCAGGTTAGTTGGGGGAGGATTTAGATGTCACAAACATGTTTACCTCCCCCAGCATATATTCTGTATGTGCCTGTCGCTTCAGGAGCTTGTAACTCTGTTGTAGTCGTTGTCGGGTTGCTGTCTGTCATTTGTTTTTGTCTCGCCTTGACGGAGTCAAAAAGCGAGACATAGGTATGCTGTTTCCGGCGTCGGCGGCGTCAACAATGTATTAGTTTGTGATTAGGTCGAGTTCATGGTGAACCACTAGTGGTAGGTCAATGATATTTGGTATGCAGTTGTATTCGCATTGGCACATCTCATTACCATGGAGATTATTTGGCACCGCCCCTCAGTCAAGGTCTATTGACTTTGAAACTTTTCCTAGTTTACATGTATTAGTTTGTGATTAGGTCAATTTATGGGGAACCACTGGTGGTAGGTCAATGATATTTGGTATGCAGTTGTATAGGCATTGGCATATCTCATTTGCATGGAGATTATTTGGCTCCGCCCCCTTAGTCATGGTCTATAGACTTTGAAAATTTTGCTAAGTTAACATGTATCAGTTTGTGATTAGGTCAGTTCAAGGGGAACCATTAGTGGTAGGCCAATGTTAATTGGTGTTCAGTTGTATAAGCATTAGCACATCTTATTTCCATGGAGAATATTTGCCCCGCCCCCTCAGTCTTGGTCTATTTACTTTGAAACTTTTGCTTAGTTTACATGTATTAGTTTGTGATTAGATCAGTTTAAGATGAACTGCTAATGTTAAGTCAATGATATTTGGTATGCAAATTTATTGGCATTTGCAAGTATCGTTTCCATTGAGATTATATAGCCCCACCCCTGATCATGGTTCATTGACTTTGAAACTTTTACATAGTTTACTAGTTAATGTTGTGTTTATGTTTGTTTAAAGGGAACGACTTTTGATAAGTCAATGGTATTTGGTATGCAGTTGTATTAGCATTGGCACATCTCATTCCATGGAGATTGTTTAGCCATGTACCTTCAGGCATGGTTCATCGACTTTGAATATTTGCATAACTTACATGTTAAAGTATTGCTATTTTAATTTCAACATTTGCATTATCAAAATTACAAAAAGGCGAGACATATCTCTGTGATAACAGTTTATTTGTTTATTGTTGGTTTTCTCGTCTGAATTGTTTCACATTTTGCCATGGCTTCTATAGCTGACTATATGGTATTGGTTTTGATCATTGCTAAAGGCCGTACAGTGATGCTTACAACCACGTCATTTGGACTCAGTGAAAGTTATCTCATTGGCATTAATCCAATTCTATTACATCTCCTTATTTGTTATAAAATAACGTTCTCTGACTGCTGCAAAGTGTTAACACGAAGCAACAAAACTATGCATTCGTCTACAAATATCAAAATTATGAACATTAATTCTAGCCTTCTAAATATTAGAATGTGACAACTTGTTTGAAATAAATACCTAAACGGGTAAAACACAATAAAGGGAACAGTAAGGTTGCACTTGAGGTCAAAAATAAAGGTCAACATAATAGAAAAAAAATTGTTATCTTGAATAAGTAATACTTGAAATTTGTAAAACTCATTTGGCTATAGTGGAAAAAACAATGAGAAGTGTTTTTATTTTTTATTTTGTATGAGGTAAGGGAAGTGATGGTTACGGTCACTACTTGTAAAATTAACCTCTAGAAATATGTCTTTAATGAACTATCCCAACTCTTTTTGCATAATTATAATTCCAAAACAGAATACCAAACAAAAAAAATCACAGGAATAAAGTTTAACTTTAGAATTCGGCAAAATAATACCCCCTTTCTTAATACGTAAAAAAGGATTATTGTAAGAACACCACCTCTCTTAAAATGAAAGACTATATACATGTAGCCCATCAAAATCATTAAGAGTTGACCTTCTATTCGTGGGAACATAAATCACAGCAGAAAATGTATTCCTTACATAAATAGTACCTAACATAAACTCAGAAAGTTATTTGAGCTACGGACACTACATTGATCTTATGTTTATAATTTTATCAATATGAATAACTTTTCATGGGTAACATACTAAGTTTGTGTATTTTCTTTTCATTGTTTACATTTTTTAACAACAGAATGACCCATGATTGTGAATAAATATATGTAATTAAAGTTATTTACATTTAAACATACATGCCATGTTGACATGGATGGGACCAAGTTTATCATTTCAAATCCGAAGTAAAACCATAGGCATATCTTAACAAAGTAGGTGCTATGCATTTAAAGTAATGATAAAAAAATACATTTCTGAAAAGAAAATCCTTAGAATTACATTTGTTAATCAGAAAAAAAGAAATGTTGACGATTACGGACACTACACAATGGCTACTTTTTCCAACAATTTTCTAAACGTAATACACTTTTTGTGGATTTAAGGGTACTAGCCATTTCCACAGAACTTCATGAAATAAATGTTTTTCTATCATAAGACACTACCAAAATTGTAGATAAAACAAAAATAAAGCAAAATTTACCTTCAAATATACTTGATATAAAAAAGAAGATGT